TTAAAGTTTCTTTAAAAAAAATTAAGGGCAACAACAGCCACAAATGACCTTCAATTTTCTGGCTTTTGTTTCTGGTCTTTTTAGATGAGATGAGCTACAAATAACTTGTAGATTTACTCAACTTTTCTCTGTTCTTCCAATGGTCTTTATTTGCTTAAAAATTAATAAAGCTCGGTTTAATATCTCTGTTACTCAATTATTTTCTTAGCGATAAGAACTTTGATCTTCTAATCTTTATATCTTAAGATTTTTTATTTTATTTTATGTGTTATTTATCCGATTTCCTAATTTTTATAGTATTATCTTTGCAGGAAAAAGATGACAACTTTTATGGGATGCAAATGCAAGTACTTGTGGATATATTCCATCCTTTTTTGTCCTCCAAAGGTTTGTTCTGCTTTATTTATCTATTGATTTATTTGTTTATTTATTTTTTGCCGATAAAAACTTTGTCCTTTTAATTTCGGTCTCTACTCTCAAATCACTTGAAGTTTTTATTTTGTCCTTTATTTTATTGGATCATACTATTATTTTTATAGAAAGGAAGATGAATTTATTAGGTTTTAGCTAAAAATAGGCATGAACATCAATGTTTTCCTCTGTAAACATTTTTTCTAGTGCTGTTTGACAGAGAGTATGAGTTATGGTGGTTTCTTAAAGCTTTCTAGAAGCATTTAATCCCTAAAATGTTACATGCCTTTCTAAGAGCTCTTAAAGCTCTTTCATCATTACATGTATTGATTTCCTTCTATGTTTCTCCTATTGTGTTCCTTCATAGGGTTTGTGACTGTCTTCATTTATATCCTGCTAAAAAATGTTGGTTTGCTTGCGATTTCAGATTAATCAGAAGATGATGAAATCTGCAATGATTAAAGATCTATACTCTGAAATTGACAGACTGAAGCAAGGTTTGTTGATTGATCTGTCTATGTCTGTTCATGCAAGTGCGTTGTGTACACTTCCATAAATACAGAAATCTTTTGGTTTACAGACTGGTTAAGCACATTAGATAATTTTGCACATGCCGTGACAATATTGCATTGAATCTATTTAACAATCTTATGTTCATCAGAGGTGTATGCTGCTAGAGAAAAAAACAGGATTTATATACCAAAAGATCGTTATCTGCAGGATGAAGCCGAGAAAAAGGTCCCAATCTGGTCATTTGGTCTGATGATGACATGTATTACCTGAAAATTTCCCCTGAAAATTAGTAATTTTGTTTCTAATTTCAGGCAATGGCTGAGAAGATAGAACGCATGGAGCTTGATGTGGAATCCAGGGACAAGGTATGCTTGAGAAATGAATCTTTAAGCTTGTCTTTTCTTGTTGCCACTTGCAACACTTGATTGATTACACGTTATGCTTTTTGAGCAGCAATTTGTGGTGCTTCAGGAACTTTACAAATCTCAACAGCTATTAACAGCAGAGTTAAGTGACAAACTTGACAAAACTGAGATAAAATTAATTTATTTTGTTGCCCTCATAATAGTACGTCGTGTTTTCCCCTCTTTTGCTCATGATGTCACAACTATATTTTTGTTGTGCTCTAGAAAATGCTGCAGGAAACTGAGCATGCTTTGGCTGATCTGGAGGAACGGTTTAGACAAGCTAATGCCACAATAAAAGAAAAGGAGTATCTGATGGCCAATCTTCTGAAGTCTGGTGAGGCCAATGTTCACCACAGTTTAAAGTTGTTCACATATAGTCCTAAATGCTAATGTTGCTGCATAAATAATGCATATATTATTATTTTCCTGTTACTTAGGCTACCAAGTCATTCTAATAACTTTTTTCAATTTATGATTTTTTGTTGCATCTGATCTGCTAGCCTGCAATGCTTTCCTGTCTCCTAAGCAATTTTCCTTCTTATTTGACTCTAATATTCAGTAATATCTAGGTGAGATCTGTGATGTTATATACATGGGCCATTTCATAATTTTTGCTTGTGTAACTTGCCTTGGTAAATAGGAAACAGAAAGGAGTGATAAAGGGCCACAATGAGCTGAATATTTTAGTCTGTTTACTTGTGCAACTTGCCTTTGGTTAAATAGGAAACGCAAAAGAGTGACAGAGGCCCACAATGAGCTGAATTTTTTTTGCTAGACACAATTAAGTTTTTGAATTTCTCTGCTTGCTTTTTCTCACTTTATGTACTAATAACAACTATCCATCATGTAAAAGAAATCTTTCTATAATCCATCAAGACATTATTAGAACAGTTTTCTGACATCATGTGGTTTTCTTCTACCAGAGAAAGCACTTATGGAGCGGGCATTTGATCTTCGAACAGAACTGGAGAATGCTGCATCAGATGTCTCCAATTTGTTTGCTAAGATTGGTTTGTATGCTAAGCTTAGTGATCTAAACAGAATAAGGATGTATTATGCCCAAAACCATGCAGTTTAATGTTGTTATTCATGCATAATTGCTTATCCAGAGCACAAGGGCAAAATAGAAGATGGAAACAGAATTCTTGTCCAGAAGTTCCAACCACAGCTAACGCAACAGCTTCGCATCTTGCATAAAACTGTGACAGTTTCAGCAACACAACAAGAGCAACAATTAAAGGATATGGAAGAAGATATGCAGTCTTTTGTATCCACAAAGACACAGGTATTGTATACATGAAATAGCATAAGCTTGTATCTGCATAGATTGTTTGTCAATACATTCACGTCTCTCTTGTGTGCTAGGCTACTGAAGAGCTTCGAAGCCGCCTCGAGTAGTTGAAAACCATGTATGGTTCTGGTATAGAATCTCTTGACAGTTTAGCTGGGGAACTTGATGGGAATTCACAGTCAACTTTTGGACATCTAAATTCTCAGGTCTCTGGGCATTCATCTTCTCTGACTAAGGTGAGTATCTCTTGACATTGAATGCTACAACCATGATTTGCCTCTGTATCTTTTGCTTGATCAATGTTCAAAAAATGCAGTTTTTCAATAGTATTGCTTCAGAGGCTAATAAACTGCTGAATGATCTTCAAAATAGTCTTCACGGTCAGGAGAGCAAACTAATTGCATTTGCACAGCAGCAACGTGAGGTTGGCATTTGCTTAAGAAACTAAAGAAACATGCTTGGCCTGATAACTTTCCATTCTCTGATCTAATTTGAGAGAACCAGCTAATGTTACTCACATTGACATCTTCTGCAGGCTCATCAAAGAGCTGTCACACGACAACAAGGTCAATTGCTGAAATAACTGCCAACTTTTTGAAAACTTTGGATGCGCATGTTTCACAATTAGGCCGAATTGTAGAAGAATCACAGACAGTCAATGATAAACAATTATCTGATCTAGAAAAGAAGTTTAAGGTGATTTGACTTTTTTCCCACTTGAACCTATTTTCTGCTCTAAGTTGTGGTCTTGCTTTAAGTTTGATTCTGTTTTGGTTTCTTCCTTCAATGTAGGAGTGTGCTGCCAATGAAGAAAGGTAGCTCTTAGAAAGGCATTAAATGCTTGTTACATCCCTAAAATGTTACATGCAAAGAATTGGATGAACAATATAGAAACGATTGAACAACATCAAAATTAATGCTCGTTGTAAATTTAAGAACACCACAGATAATCAATCCTCCACAGAATAATAGAAAAAATTAGTAGTGTTTACTCATTGTTTAATATTTTTGAATCTCCCATTTACTTCTCCCAACACTTCATCCCATCTCTACATGAAGCAAAATCATACTGTCGAGTTTCAATTTTATTCGCCTCAATTATTTTTTTTTTGATCTTTTTCTCGACACCATGTTAGATGCAAACCTTTATTTACTCGCATTTTCTTACAACATTGCTTATTTAAAAGCTTAATCATTTTATAACCAAATAACTTAAATGCAATGCATACGATATATGATATCTCCACTTGAAAATCTGGGTATTTTCTGGGCAACATGAAATTAACACCGTGCATCGCACGGTGATCCCCTCCTAGTACGCAATAAATGCTTGCCCACGAAACCCCAGGTGGGGTACGGTAACCCGGGATCGAATTCCACCCCTGCTCGCAATTGCATAATGAAAGAGACTACAGGAAAGTACGTAATTAGCCCGAAAAGCACACAAACTACAAAATACTACTCCGCATTATCATGCTACACAGTAAGAGTAGGGAGTATAACTTTCTATATAAAGTTTGAGATAATTTAAAAATGTTATCATCGTAAATAGAAAATTTACGCAGTTGTTTTTTTTTTTTTTTTTTTTTTTTTTCAAATTCAGAACGTATATATATCATCGCATTAATCAAAGTAGAGGGAAAGCAATTGCTGGAGGATATTAGCAAAAATGGAAAATGATGCTCGCATATAAAGTACTAATACAAGCAGGCAGACGCAGCTATGGAGTGGAGTCGACTAACAAGCAACAACCATAAATTAAAGAAGCCCCATGTATCATTGTCCATGAGATCTGCTGTATCATATCGCAAATCTAAATTGGATTTGATTTGATCAGCAAAGTATTGTTGATCTCACATTCCCATTTCCATAATTAGCAACAGTATAATGCTGATATCTCCCTTTGTGGTCACTGAATTTAGTGCTCTTTATTCTAGTTTACAGATTAATAATACTAGTAAGTTTAATTTGTTATGGTAGAAGTCTGAGTTTCATTAGAGAAAAACCGAACATGTTCGTTGGATTGTAATTTCTAAAGAAAAATTTTAGGTGAGCATATTTTTTATTTACTTTTTTTATTTCACATACAGCAAATTGTTATAGTATATTTTTTCTAACAAAATTTTAGAAAATAGCGATCCAAACATGATCATTGTATCTCGACAAACCATGCTTAAGCTCATAGACAGCCAACATCGCCATGAATTTCCAAGGCTTGATGAGGCAAAATTTACACTCACCTGGTGATCTTGTGTGTGTGTGTGTGTGTTTTTTTTTTCTTTCTTTCATAATTCCGGTTGTGGGTGTTTGTCAGAAATGAGAAAAAAAAAGTAGGACAACATGAATATCTCCATCCTTATCCTAGCTTACAAAGCACAAGAGAATAAGTTGTTTCTATTGATCATTAGCTCACGGGCAATTCATGAGGCAAAGTTCAGCAAATTTGTAACGTCATTGCAACATAGATAGCAGTCTGCTGTGTGATTTTCGTGTCAGGACAACAAAGTGGTATGTCTGCGAAAATGTTCAAAGGCGACTTTGTCGTAGTCTCTGCTGCCGAAACATGCATGGCGTCCCAAATGAAATCCTATAGTCCCATCTTGGTATCACCATTGAATTCTGGTCGTTAATATGTGATATCAATTGTTATCATCAAGCTACAAAAATATACAAAAACACAGAGTGATGTAATTGAATTTCCTAACTATTTAATGCCAAAACGGATACACGTTACTCGAAGTTATATGATAGGAGTAGCTTATTCCTTGGGTCACTTGGACAAAAGCAAGAACATCCAAGTTTGCTAAGACCAAAGAGGCGGCGAAGGACGAGGTTGAGGTTGAAGTTGAAGAATGGTAGGTGCAGGTGTAACAAGGGGTTTTTTTTACTCATAAACTATGCAAGAGCATGAGTGGACTTTTACCATGTATAGTTCCGAAACTTCAATGCTTGAGCTCCCCGTAGATGTGATAAGGTTACAATGCGTTAAAATCACCAATCTTATTTCTTGGAGGTGTGATTGTATCTGGTCTAAATACGGCTGCATACCGGTCGAGCAGCCCGACTCAAAACTCGATTTGAACTCGGTCAATATCGAATTGGAGTTGAGTTCGAACTAATTAAATCGAACTCGAATTCAAAGATATTCAACTCGTAAGCCAGTTTGATTATGTGTATGTATATATATATATATGTGTGTGTGTATGTATATATATATACATAATTTTATTAATGAAATTAATATAAATCCCTAATATTTTATTATTTGTTAAGAAAAATTATTATTTTATTTATTTTTTTAAGCTCGGGTTTAAACTCAACTCGATTCGAATTTGAGTCGATATCGAATTCAAACTTTACATTGAGAGTTCGTCGAACTCGAACTTAATAAAATTAAGTCAAAACAGAGATCGATAGGTCAAAACTCAACTTGACTCGATTCATTTGTAGCGCTACATCCAAAGTTTACATTGATAAATAAAATGACATTTTTTTTGCAGAAGAGGAAAACAAATCCCTACAATAACTTGCAGGTGCATAATAATACGAAAATATAGCTGCCATTTCAAATAGGAGTTGACATGCCTCATATCCGGTGCTTTTTTCCTAACTTTTTAAAAATATGAAATAAAGAAAAGCTATTATATCAAATTTTTCGTGCATATATATACCCAAGTAATTTAATATATATGAAATTAAAAGGTAATTAGAAAGACAGCCAAGTAATTTAATGTATATGAAATAAAAAGATAATTAGAAAGATATAAAATGTGTAGGCAAGGAAAAAAATGATTTCAAACCTCTCAGGCTTTTCGGAATTCTCCCACTTAATCTTTTACCCCTAGCATGCGAGCCAAGCGTAAAACTGTTTCCATGTCCGCATGTGATGTGTCACTCACACACAACTGGAACATAAGTAGACTTTTGAAGATACCAAAAAAGAAACAGATTAATAACAGCATGGAGTGATTTAGAAGTCAATGCATAATATTTCATCATTTAAGAACATAAGCAAAAACATAAAACTTCTCCTCAGAATCTTCCATTTCAGCTATTAAAGAAGATGCCATCTTTTCTACATTTTAGGAAGCTAGTATGTCCAAATGCACATACACTGTTTGTGAAATCCGCAGACCTTTCTTTGGTTGAAAATTGATCAGAGAAATATCAGACGCAGCTCCAATTTCAAGGTCTAAATTTTGCAGTTGTCAAAACCAATAGTATGAAATGTAGATCTTCTTAAATGTCATGAAAATATTACACCTTTCCCTAACGTATTTGTTTAATTGAGTTTTTAGTAACTAGTGAATATAAACTTCTATTCCATCAAACCACTTACATAGCACAATATACTGAATTGAAGAGCAACTGAATTTGAAAATATATGTTTACCATTGCCTTATCTTGATTGGTCTAATAAATGAACGTCCTGCTTGGGATGTAAGAATCTCAAAGTTGTCTTCCATGCAAGGGACTGAAAATACAATCTCCAAAGTTTCATGATCACACTTTCAGCTTTATAAAGGAGAACCATGACCTTGAAATTGCAGTTTAAAACCTCCAATTCCCCAAGAGACCATTCATGCATTTGGATCCACCTACCCATGTTCTCTGCGCCAAGCATCTTTCACCACAGATCTTTCAATCTACTGTCCACTCACAAATACCAAAGCAAGTTTATCAACGCATCGAACACAAATTAAAGAATAACGCTCGGCAAAGAAGATTGCAGCATCTTTCAATAGATGAACAATCATAATCCACTGATGCAGTCACTTGAGCTGCAAATTAGACATTTCTTGTCATGAAACAAGAAGTGCAGTCAACCATCTTCAGGTCCACCACTTATCAGCTTGGTCCCAAGTTCTACCCTGGGCTTAGCAGATAACCCTTTAGCCATCATTTCCTCATCATACTTACGTGCCATATCAACCATACCCTTTTGCACCAAAATATCAATCAAAGCATTGTAAGCAAATTCATTTGGACTCACTCCATGCTCTTCCATCTTCTTCCAGACAAGTAAAACAGGTCGTAGAAAACCCCACCTCCCAAACTTCCTCATAAGCATGACATATGTTTCCATTGTTGGCTGAACTCCAGTTTCAATCATCCTATCAAACAACTTTAGAACCTCTCCAGGCTTTTGAAGACATCCAAAAAAGCAATTATACGTTCTTACATTTGGTTCACAACCCTTGTTTAACATCTCATTGAAAAATTTATGCGCATCCTTGTACCTCCCATTTTCACACAAAAGCTTCAAAATTGTGATATAAGTCACTATATTTGGTCGAAAACCTAATTCAATCATCTCTCGGTAAAGCTTAAGTGATACATCTACCCCTTCTGAAATCCCAATAGCCCGACCAAGTGTGTTATACGCCACTACATCCAACTTAACCCCCTTCTTTTTCATCTCCTTGAACAATTTCACTGCCCTCCAAGGCTTCCCACTCTTGCATTGTATATCCATATATATAGAATAAGAATGCAAGTCTTTTGGAATACCCCTTTTATCCATTTCTTCCCAAAACTCCCTACATTTCCTCCACCACCCAATCTTAAACCACCCGCGAAGAATAATGTTGTATATTTTCGTATCCAATTTGTAGTTTAGCACTTCAGCACAATCTCCATTCTTTCCAAAGCACAATTCTTCAGCTTCTATCACATGCTTATATTCACACAAGGCATCAATCAAATTCGAAAAGGAACCTTCATCTTTCAAATTAAATTCTTCCATTCTATTAAAAGTATCAATAGCTTCTTTGACAAGATGAGCTGAAACATAACGCTTAAACAGAATCCTAAATGTTGTTCGATCAGGCTTTGAAAAAGCCGAACTTTTCCTCATTTTTTCAACCAAATCCCATGCAATATCAAATTCAAAAAACTTACCAAGAATATCAATGACCCGGTTGTAAGTTTCGGTCGTGTGCTGGAACCCACATTGGATTTCGACCCAATTGAAGAAATCCAATGCCCTTTTGCAGTCATTGTTGTAAGAAGAGAGTGTTTCAAGAACTGTGGTGGGGTTGAAATCAAGAAACTCATGTGCGCTGTCAGGGAAGGGTTTAAGAATGGTTTTATTGGCGGAAATATTGGCATTTGATGGTGTTTTTCATTGAAGTATGAAGTTGAGTTCTGGAATTTAGCTACAGAGACTGGATTTTTGGAAGCAAATGTGTGGAAGGGTATGAAAATTTGGAGTTGGGAGAGAACAAAGTGAGAAAAATTGTAGGAATAGAATCGAGAGGAAATTGAAGAAAACATTTCTTGATTGTTTACAGAGAGGCGAGAACAACTAGACGAGTACAACAGCATTGTGAAATTTGAGCTTATGGGCCGGATATGGGCCGAAAGTTTTCAGGTAATTTGATTGGGCCAGGAAGAGGCCGGATATGGGTAATTAACATGGCTCTTGACTTTCACATTCTTGATAGTATTCTGAAGCACTCCAATTCCCCCCCCCCCCCCCTTTCAAACTAAAAATTACGTAATTGTGGAAGAAAAATTGGATTATGCAAAAAAAAGAGAGTAGCAATTCTACACAAGAAAAATAAATAAGCAGTTAATTTTGGGGGTATGAGAAAATAATTTTTCAGTAAGGCAATCCTTTTTTTTTAGTGCAACACAATTGGTCCTATAATAGGGAAAAGGGAGGAGGATGAACTTATCCAATCTATTGAGAGGTTCCAAAGAAAATAAATAACACGCGATCATGTTCCACGAAATTCTGGAAAGGACACGTAGTCAGGGGATTTGATCCCTGAGTTGTGCCTAAGGAGGTACTTAATCCCGTTTTTGGAGGACACGTAGTCAGGAGAGTGCGTTCCACACCATGTCAAGAAGACCATGTCAAGAAGTTTTTTGACATGGCTCTATTTCTGGGAGGAATGTTCTTCACCCTCCTTGACTTCATCATGTTCTTGGTCAATTTCTGCTTCCCAGATGGTCCTTCAAATTTTGGCACGATGGTATGGTACAAGAAGTCTAGCAAATGAGCACTCTTTGTCGTGACTTCAAGATTTGGCGATTCTTCAATAGCCTTAAATGGAGAATCTCTTCGTAGAACCCGGTCAGCATCGAAATCAGCAGCTCATCCGCCAAGTCTAGTGATGAAAGTTGGAACTCTAACACCTTTCTCAACAGGAAGAGTGGAATTTGATTCTCTAGCATCACAATATCTCTAAGGATAGCATTATGAGCTGACTTTTTGCCTGCAACATCGATAAAATGTGACATACTCGAAGAGATTCGAGTCAATACCTCACTTTCTTTCACAGCATAGATTCTCAGGAACTCAAGCAAGAAGAAGCATCCACAGCCATCATCCAAGCTAAAGTTTCACCATTGAGATTGAGGTATCTGTGATAGTGAGCCCGAATCCTTTGCTCGTGCTTCTTGAACTGGTCAACGACATGATGAAACTTGAGATTTTGGTTCTCTTTCTGAATTTTCTTAGCTGCTGCAACCTTGTATCTCTCCATTTCATAGTGCTCGGGACTAAAATAGTGGTACGGGCCAACGGCAATTTGCTGGGGTATATAGGAAATGGGATGGCTATTCAAAAGGGTTTTAGGGACATTAAAGATGCTAACAGGGATTTCAATTTCTTCTCCAAGCTCTTCGTCCAGTTTTCGACTGATTCTAACAACCCAACCATTTTCATCGAAAGTGGACTTCAAGGTTGAATCCATGTTCATTGGAATATTGGAGAAGGTGTACTTGGTTGTAGTAAATTGGCTCATCGTATAGCCAAGAGGAGGAAGTATTTAATTGCCGTTCGAAAAATGGAAAGCAAGAAGAAAAAGAGGAGATTATGATTTCATGGACTATTAGAGTACGGCCATTCCCACTTCTGACTTCCCATTCTTATCCCAAATTTGATTGCTTCTAAGAGGAGAACTAGCAATTAATTAGACAACACGAGGAGGAACAAGCATTTCCATGTGAACAAATATAGCAATTCCACTTGTTTGGTCATAACTCACAGTGCCGATAATAGTTTCTTTAGTCAGCCCTTCATCTAATTGGCTCACTGTTTCTCAAGTTGATGGACTGTCGATGTCAAGACGTCTTTCTTTTGTCTATGCCTCTATGGAGAAAGCCAGCCAGCCAGCCAGCAAACGCAACGCGCGTAAACTTTCGAGGTTGGGTTAGAACTTCTACTGTTAACCAAATATCAATATAATCTATGTTCATTTATCAGTTTTTCTTTCGCACTTTTACTTTTAGATGAAGAAGAAGAAGAATAGGTATTGAGTCACAGGAATATATCCATTGATAGGGAGTTAGGGACTGTAGTTTCTTAGTCCCCATTCTCACCCTCATCATGCATGGAAGATTACATAAATTTGTTGAAGAAAACAAGGTCAAAAAATTTGGTCCTGATAATTACCCCAACAGCCCATTGACCGACCTTCACCATGTATTTATGCACGTACACATGCTTAGTAATCTTGAACGTGGCAATTCTTTTATAATCTCACATGTGTGTATGATTTTTCTTTTCGTTTGGTATAATTAATTAAATATCTCCATCTAGAAGTTAAAAGGAAAACGAGAAAAAAGGTTTGGTCAAAATACTCGTCTAATCAAAATCCAGGTTCTACCCGTTTATTTTTACGTTTTAGCAAGAGCAGTGCAGGTTTTTCTTTCTTTTTTTTTCTTTTTTCTAAGTGGAAGGTTTTAAACCTAATATCTCCTATTTATAACTTTTCTTATCTTACCATTCAATCTAATCATCCCTGCAGTGTGGTTTAATTACCAAGAATTTAATTCGTCATCAAGTAAACGTAAATCCCTGGTTTTTGGTACTTATCTACCTTCTTAATAAGGTCTACATGAAAGTTTTTTTTTTTCTTCAAATTCTTCATTCGAGTTTGACAACGTCGAATATTAACAGGGTGGGCGGCTCTATATTTGGTTTTCTCTTTGGTTTTTTGACTAGGTAGGCCATCTTTCATTATCAGTACAGCATTTAGCTCTAAACTCAAACGAGGCTGTTATATATCACAGCATAAATTATTTACACGCGTCAAATGTCCCAACTCAATCATAAACTACAGAGGTGCATTGTTATATTGATCCTGTAGCAATGCAAGATCATCAATAGGTTAGGACTTGGGAGATAACTTGGTCCATGTTTGCGCTTAAGATAGCATGAGCACGTTCCAAACAACATTGCATGGATGAAGGGGGCATAATTCCTCTTTTGGCCTCCTCTCCATTCTCAAAATACAAGACTACAAACTCGTGTACCACATTAATTCAACTACCTGAGATTATCAAAACTTTCTAATTAATGGTGCTCTTTGATTACTCGTTGTTTTGCAAATCTAAGGCAAGTATCAAGTCTTTCATCTGATGACATGCATAATAATTTTAGAGCAAATACTTTATACACTGACAGTGTATACACTATCACCATTGGATTCATGACATGTATGCAAAAGTTGAATTTTAATTCAAATTTTACATAGTTGTCATTCATTCAACGCTGACAATGTATACACTGTCAGTGTAGGAAAGATTAATCCATAATTTTAATGTAGTATGCCTCCAAACCTCTAAAGAATTTATCCCCTTTAATTTGGCAAACAAAATTCACAATGGTTGTTCCTAGCTAGAACGGTAGAGTATCTATAAATTATATTACAAGAAGCCAAAAGATTACTACTATCTTTTCCTCCAGAAGTAGCAACTAGCAAGATTACTATCTTTTCCTCGTTTAGTAGTAGTCACTAGTCATGTGCAGTTCATATTACACAAAACCTATGCATTTCTTCATCTTTAAACTCGGCATTGGATATGATCTTTAAAATTAATACTCCCTCCGTCCCACTTTGATAGTCCTGTTTTCTTTTTTCGTCTATCCCAAATTATAGTTCACTTTCCAATTGAAGAATGTAGATATTTTTTAATTTCTCTAAAATACCCTTATTCAATGTAAGTTGTTATTACTATAAACTACCTTATTTAATATAGATTGTTAGTATTGAAAATAACCTACTCTATTTAATGCATTTAGATTTTCCAAAACATATTGATAAATGAAAAGCCAGCTTTATTTAATGTAAGGGTATTTTAGGAAAATAGCAATCTAAATTTGTTTTTCCAACAAAATTAATTACTTTTTCTTAAACTGTGTGGAAAAAAATAGAACTATCAAAATGGGACAGAGGGAGTAACTTTATAAACCAGACATTCAGCTAGGAATTGAAACGTTATAAAGCTTTTACCTCGGATTTATTGAATTATTGGATGAGGAAGGCCCACCAAAACCAAAGTGATAATACTATTAAGATTTCAAAAAAAAGTGAATGAGAAAAATTTTTTCCCCATAATTACTTAATGAGTATTTGTTAGTATATTTTATTTAAACTTAACTTTAAAACAATATATGTACACTCTTACAATTATTATTCTCCTTGCATTCAAAGACATATCAAAGTTAATATCATCATTTTTTCGAAAAAACTAATACCTATAATAACTCATTTTAACCGGTTTAAAGTAAGAAAAGGCAAAGGAGAAAAGGTCCAAAAGCTAATGAATGAAAGGGCCTGTTCTAGTCGAGCAAGTTGGCCTGTGGGCCTGCTTCAATAAAACTTTCAACACTTACTTGCCGTGGATGTCTTCTAAAAAGGAGGAGATTACTGTAGCATATCCGCTCTGAAAATATCTGTGCTGAAGCCCAAATTATATATACAGTACTCGTCTTCTCCATTTTTCTCCCTAGTCCTCGACAGTACCATAATCACATTACAATCACAGGAATTTCAGTTACAGTTTTGTCATCACCAATTCCAGGTACATCTGAATGCCTTTCTATCCAGCCTACCTTTGTCTCATGGATTCTTAGTGTTCTGATTTGCATGTTGATCTTCTCGATATCTGAAATTTGTAATACTAAAGGAAAAAAAAATCCCAGAATTTTGGGTTGTATGCACTCATGGTCTGCATTTGATTTGATTGAGATTTGCAACAATGTTAACCTCTGCTAAGTTGGGGTTTACGTGTATCAGAAAAGAATTGAATTACGTCGTCCTTCATCTGTTGGCTGGAAAACTTTTGGAGGGATTCTTCCAAGTGCGCCCTTTTGGGATACTATCATTATTCCTCCCGCGCCGCTTTTTGTGGTTTGGGGTGGGGGCGCTCTATCGTTCTACGTAGTATTTTGGGATTCGGATTACTATTTTATTTCTTAAGTCAGTGTAAAGTGGCTCTAATAGTCTCCTTGGATTTAGCTATGATTGTAACTCGTAAAGGGATTTTGGACGATTAATTTGAGTACCGATCACCAAGTATGTTGCTTTGATCCAGTTGTTTGTGATTTTTTTTGTTATATTTGATTTTTGTGTCCCTGATGAGTTCTGGCATTGATTTGAATTTATTTATCGGCAAATTGGCCATCTTTTCTTTTCTTTTCTTTTCTTTTCTTTTTAAAAAATTTTTTGTCATGGATAATATATCTGTTTCAGATCAAACCTAATCGAAGAGGCGTGTGGTAGCAATGGATTATCTGCCTGATCAATTACTTTGGGAGATCTTGGACAGGATAAAGAAGACTGCAGATAGAAACTCTGTATCACTAACTTGTAAGCGCCTTCACAAAGTGGATAGTGAACAACGAAAATTTATCCGGGTTGGATGTGGATTGGATCCTGCCACAGAATCCTTGGCTTCTGTCTGCAACAGGTTTCCGTACTTGGAAAGGGTGGAGATCATTTACTCTGGTTGGATGTCCAAATTAGGAAAACAGTTGGATGATCATGGGCTTCGAGTCCTTTCCAGTAACTGTTCTTTGCTAAAGGATCTAACCTTAAGTTACTGTACCTTTATTACCGATGCTGGTCTAAGTTCCCTGGCTTCTTGTTCTAAACTTTCAGCACTCAAGCTGAATTTTGCCCCGAGAGTAACTGGTTGTGGGATATTATCTCTTGTCATGGGTTGCAAAAAGCTTGCAGTGCTTCACCTTGTTCGATGCCTTAACATAAGCAGCGTTGAATGGTTGGAGTATTTAGGCAAGCTTGAAAGTCTTGAAGATCTTTGTATTAAAAATTGTAGAGCAATTGGAGAAGGTGACCTGATTAAGCTTGGACCAAGTTGGCGGAAATTAAAGCAGCTACAGTTTGAGGTTGATGCAAACTACAGATACATGAAGTTTTACGATCGGTTGGCCATAGATCGGTGGCAAAAGCAATGGATCCCTTGTAGTAGCATGTTGGAGCTAAGTTTGGTGAACTGCATCATCAGCCCTGGAAGGGGGCTTGCATGTGTCTTGGGGAAGTGCAGTAACCTGGAAAAGATTCACTTGGACATGTGTGTTGGCTTGAGGGATGCTGACATTGTTTGTTTGGCACACAAATAAAAAAATCTTCGATGCATATCACTTCGAGTGCCTTCAGATTTTTCACTTCCCCTTTTGATGAACAATCCATTGAGATTAACTGATGAGAGCTTAAAGGCATTGGCTGAGAATTGTTCACAGCTGGATTCAGTTAGGTTGTCTTTCTCAGATAGGGAGTTTCCTTCATTGTCCTCGTTTACTTTGGATGGAGTCCTTGCTCTCATACAAATGTGCCCAATCAGGGAACTTGCTCTAGATCATGTGTACTCTGTGAATGATTTTGGTATGGAAGCTCTTCGTTCAGCAAAGCACCTCGAGATCCTGGAGCTTGTGCGATGCCAAGAAGTTACAGATGAGGGGCTACAGCTCGTAGGCCAATTCCTGCAATTGCGTGTTTTACGGCTCAGCAAGTGTTTGGGTGTTACTGATGACGGATTGAAGCCACTTGTTGGAGCATGTAAACTGGAAATGTTAGTTGTGGAAGATTGTCCCCAGATATCCGAACGAGGTGTCCAAGGAGCTGCAAAGTCTGTGAATTTCAGGCAGGACTTATCATTCCGGTGTTTCTTTGCTCCTCATCCATTAAGTGTGGGTGTATTTGTGTGCCATCATGGTATCTATCATGACAGATTTGTACTATATTTGAAGTCTGCAAGTGTAATAAGCTATATCCACAGTTGAATGTATCATAGTTGTTTTGGAATGAGGGAAGTATGTGTTTGGATATCTCTTTTTTTTTTTTTTGGTTAAATAATATTCGTTTGCATAATAAACACTGTGTTCTCAATCCACTTTTTTAATATTCTTAATTATTTTTTTATTTCACTTATATTAAATTACAAAAAATGCTACAGTAATTATTTTAAATAATATTCTATCCAAACAAACCTAATTCCATTATTTAAAAATAAATAAATATTTAAAAATAAAAGGGAGAAGGGGGGCATTGGGGGAAAACAGCAGCTTAAAATTTTGCTCCTTATTCCCATTTCTGACAAATAACCAAATTGAAAATGGTCTTCTTTATGAAGGAATGTTGGACCAGAAGTCGTGATTACAACACAGTAGCCAAAACACGTCTTAACAGCGGTGACGTCGACTCGATCAAATCCAGAACAAGCCTTCGCCCGCCTCTCTGCTCTACGTCCCGAATTCTCCATCAAAATCCGAGCCTCCATAGCCCAATCCCACTAATTTCAAAACCCTAAAATAAAACCATGAGCAGCTCCATTCATCTCTCCTCCATCAACCCAATTAGTTTTCGCCATTCTAACTGTAGTGGGGCAAATCCACGTGTGACACGTGTCAGCTCGGCTGACTGTACGCACCAGGTCGGCAGTAGAGACCACGTAGCTGGCACGGGCCAGCTCGGCATGAGGGAGCCAGCTCGGCCGTGCCAGGGGCCTCCTGTGATGGGCCTGGTGGGCCGCACCAGGCCGCCGCCTCCGAACATCTAGGGGCCGTCGCGTAAAACCCTAGAAAGACTCCGAACCCTAAGGGGACTTTGACCCCCATAAGGAAACTACAACTCATCCAGTCCTATATATACACCGCTCCAAGACTACGCAAGGTACGCTTACACAAGCATTCTATACGATTGCCCTATTCACAAGCTCTATTGACTTGACCGTCGGAGTTATTTCGGAGACATCAGTCCCGTTTCCCTCCTTTCTTGGCAGGACCCCTAGCTCGGCTGGCCACAGCTCAGCTCGGATCTGGTTTTTGGCTGACGCATCAATTGGCGCCGTCTGTGGGAACACGTAATTCTTCTCTTGCGAATCATGCCAAGGACAAGGTTCCAGAGGAATACCGATGGATCCAAGGGGAACGAGGAAAGCAGCCCCCAACACCCTCACGAGGACCGACTCCGGGAGACGGAGACGTGGGGCTCTCACAAATTCCGCCGGAGCAGTTGGTCCAGGCGGTGGCAGGGAACTTGCCAACTTTTGAGGCAATTGTGAATTACCTCAAGGGACAGGCAGCAGGTCATCCCGGCAATGGGCCAAAGAGCCAGGGAGAGGGGCCGTCCGAATTTAGGATGGGGAGCCCTAGCCCTCGGCCAAAAAGGGTACGCCGGGAGCTCACGCGCGACCAGGTTGACGTCGTAGAACCTTCTCACAAGCATTCCAGAACCGAGCACCCGGAGCCCTTCCGGAGGAGTTCTAAGGAGGAGCTCTCACCACGGAAGGAGTAGCTCCAGGTGCGGGACGAGCTGGACCTGCTTTTAGACCCAGAGGCGGATAGGTATATCGCCTCCCCCTTCGTCCCTGACACCGAGGATTACCCGCTGCCAGCGAAGTTCAAGATACCAAGCATGAAGTCTTATGATGCGACCACGGACCCGGAGGATCATTTGTTTGCCTTCATGACCCAAATGCGCCTGCAAACTGCTGCAGATGCGGTCAGGTGCAAGATCTTTCCAATGTTTTTGGAAGGTAAGGCGCGTCAGTGGTTCCAGGGGCTTCCCCCCAGGTCCATCCGGTCCTTTGCCCAGCTCGCGCGACTCTTTGCGGCCCAGTTCGTTTCGTCACGAGCCTTCTCCAAAAGCACTGCACACCTGATGACCATCCAACAGAAGCCAGAGAAGTCGTTGCGCGAGTACATGGTGCGTTTCAATAACGAGTCCCATCAGGTTCGGGATCGCGATGACAAGGTGGTCATGGCCGCCTTCATCAACGGGCTGCGCAAGCAAAAGCTCTACACCGAGCTCGTGGAGAGACCTCCCAAGTCAGTTCGGGAGATGCTAGACCGAGCTCATGAGAAGGCCAACGCGGAGGAGGCCAATCGCCTTAAGAGTGCACAAGAAAGATTGAGGGATGACAAGCGCAGGAGGGGCGCTGACCAGGTGGATGCACGGCCTAGCCAGGGAAGGAAGAGCGCTTATGACCGCCTCCCCAGGAGCCGCCCAATCGGAGGAGATAAACCCTGGACTACCCTCACGGCACCTCGAGCTTGGGTGCTCGCAGTCATGGAACAGGAGGGGCTCTCCCGACCTCCTCGACCATTGGGCGGGGACAAAAGCAGACGGGACCAAGGTCTGTATTGCGGTTATCATCGAGATGTGGGGCACGATACGGAGGACTGCCGTCACCTCAAGAAAGACATTGAAAAACTGATCAAACGAGGCCACCTTGGGCAGTTCATACGAGATGAACGAACTGACCAGCAACGAGGAAGGCCCAGGTCGGAACGTCCGAGCTACCCCCGGGACCGACCTCATGGGTCTCGTGGCCGAACTCCCGAGCAGGAAGCACAGAATCTGGCAGGGGTGATTAACACTATTGCTGGAGGACCTGCTGGCGGGGATAGCCATACAGCTCGGCGGCACAATCGACCTCCCCCCGCGAGGGAGAGCTCGACCAAGCGGTTGAAAATGTATGAAGAAATTATCTACGGACCTGAGGACGCAGTCCCTCTGGCCTCTAATAACCATGAAGCCATTGTGATAGAAGTCATCACCTGTAATTACAAGGTGAAGAAGGTATACATAGACAACGGAAGTGCCATAGACGTGCTATATTATAAGACCTTTAAGGAGCTACAGTTGGAGGATAGACAGCTCGTACCGGTTCGAACTCCGTTGATCGGTTTTGCAGGTCCTCCCGTGAGGCCGGAAGGAATGATCACTCTCATGGTTACGGTGGGGGTGTCCCCGAAGTGCCGAACTGTCCCGGTAAACTTCGCGGTGGTTAAGGAGCCGTCGTCGTACAATATGATTCTGGGACGGCCTACACTGAATGCCCTCCGAGCTATTTGCTCCACCTTGCACCTCAGTATGAAGTTCCCTACTCCTGCTGGGGTGGCTGAGGTGCTGGGGGATCCGGAGGTAGCAAGGGTGTGTTATATTGCCACCCTCAAGGGCAAGGAGAAGTTGGTAGCTCAGACAGTTTGTTTAGAGCCCTGGGAGCCCATGGAGAAGGGGGAAAGATTGGAGACAGACGAGGGGTTAGCCGAGCTGCCCGTCCAGCCCGACCGACCTGAGCGCACGGTGAAGGTCGGCACCGGCCTAGGCGAGCTGGTCAGGAGTTCTTTGGAATCTCTCTTGGAGGAATATGCGGAGATTTTCGCTTGGAGTGCGGATGACATGCCAGGAATCCCCACCGAGCTGGCAGTTCATAGGCTACAGGTGGACCCCAACGTCCGACCTGTGAAACAGAAGAAGAGGAACTTCACTCCTGAGCGAAAGGAGGTCGTCAAAAGTTAGGTGGGTAAGCTGCTAGAGGCTAAGATTGTTAAGGAAGTCTACTACCCGACTTGGCTGGCCAATCCGGTGCTGGTCAAGAGGGAGGAGAAAGCCTGGAGGATGTGTGTGGATTTCACTGATTTAAATAAGGCTTGCCCGAAGGATTGTTACCCACTTCCAATGATTGACCAGCTCGTGGACTCGACAGCGGGCTATGAGATTTTCTGTTTCTTGGACGCTTTCAAGGGGTACCATCAGATAGCCTTGGACGAGGAGGACCAGGAGAAGACCTCGTTTATCACCGAGGACGGCACATATTGTTATGTCACCATGCCATTCGGGCTAAAGAATGCGGGCGCGACCTATCAGAGGTTGGTAAACAAGTTGTTCAAGAATCAGATCGGCCGAAACCAGGAGGTTTATGTGGACGATATGTTAGTGAAAAGTCGAACTCAGGAGCAGTTCATCTCTGACCTGAGGGAAATTTTTGAGGTTCTCCGGAGCTCATGAATGCGGCTAAACCCAAAGAAGTGTACCTTTGGGGTCAGGTCGGAAAAATTCCTGGGCTACATGATTTCCAAAGAAGGGGTGAGAGCTAACCCAGATAAAATCAAGGCTATCATGGACATGGCTCCACCCTGAAATATTAAGGAGGTGCAACGTCTGACAGGGAGGATGGCAGCCTTGAACAGGTTCCTGTCCAAGTCGGCAGTTCGGGGGTCGCCTTTCTTCAAGGCCCTAAAAGGAGGTCGGCAGTTTGAGTGGAGCCCGGAGTGCCAGAAGGCGTTTGACGAACTAAAGGAGCACCTCGCTCGATTGCCAGCCCTGACATAGACCCTGTTCATCTACTTAGCTGCGGGAGAAGGAGCCATTAGCGCAGTGCTGGTGCGAGAGGAAGACAAGGCGCAGAAACCCGTATATTATGTCAGCCGTGCCCTGCAGGGGGCCGAGGCAAGGTACTCGGAGATAGAACGATATGTCTTGGCGTTGGTGCATACAGCTCGGAAGCTCAGGACATACTGCCAAGCTCATCCTGTGGTGGTCATGACGGACCAGCCCCTGAAGTAGATCCTGTCCAAGCCCGAGTCCTCGGGTCGAATGGTGAAATGGGCTGTGGAATTGTCAGAGTATGACCTGGGATATTAGCTCAGGACGGCCATCAAAGCCCAAGCATTGGTAGACTTCATAGCGGATGGCGTTTCCTTCAGATCACCCGAAGCGGAGATCGATCAGGCCAAAGCCTTACAGACCTCAAAGACTACCAAGGCCACCCAGGCCCAAGAAGCAGCAGAGGTCTTGCAGGCCGGAGACGCTATTGAGGTCACCCAGGCTATCCAGGTAGCGGGGGCCGGACAGTCCGGAGAAGCAGCTGAGGCCCAGTAGGCCAAAGAAGCTGCCGAGGACAGACAGGCCGGAGGAGCAGCTGAGGCCGAGCAGACCCTAGAAACTGCCAAGGTCAGAGAGACCGAGGAGGCAGTTGAGGTCAGACGGATCATAGATGCTGTCAAGGCCACGCATTCTGAAAAAGCAGTCAAGGTCGAACTGGCCAGAAATACTGCCCAGGCTGGGAAGGATACAGAGGCTGCGGAGCGAGCAGATCCCACCTGGACGTTGTACGTGGATGGCGTGTCAAGTAAGGAAGGATGTGGTGCAGGGCTCCTCCTAATTAGCCCCACCGGGGAAGAGCTGCCCTATGCGCTAAGATTCGGTTTTAGAGCCTCTAACAATGAGTCAGAATACGAGGCTCTGATTGCAGGGATGGAGATGGCGCGGAAGTTAGGGGCTAGATCGATAAAGGTATACAGCGACTCGCAGCTGATAGTGAACTAGGTGTGGGGGAGCTATGAGGTCAAAGAGGGGCCATTAAGAAAATACGTGGCCAAAACTCGTGAGCTGAAGGGCCAGTTCGGGCAGTTCGCTCTCGAGCAGATTCCGCGGATCCAGAACAAGAGAGCCTACGCCTTGTCAAAACTGGCCTCTACCTCGGTTGGCATATCAGGTCGGGAGATACTGGTGGAGGTCGTCAGAAGTCGGGCATATGAGCAGTTCAACGCCGCGGTCATTCAGGTGGTGAGCTCGTGGATGGATCCCATTGTCCAGTACGTGGCTTATGGGGAGCTCCCACCGAGCAGGGTAGAGGCCCGCAAAGTCCTCCTTAAGTTGCAGAAGTACGTGCTCACGCATGGAGTCCTGTACAGGAAATCATACTTGCAACCCTGGTTGAAGTGTGTAACTCCCGAGGAGGGAAGCTATATCTTGCGCGAGTTGCATGAAGGCATCTGCGGCAATCATGTCGGCCCAAGAGTATTGGCCAAGAAAGGAATGCTGGCTGGATACTATTGGCCCACCATCTTCAGGGACTCGACCGAGCTGGTAGCTCGGTGTAAGTCTTGTCAGCTACACGCCCCAATCCATCACACTCCCACTCAGGAAATGATTCCTCTCAGTAGCCCGTGGCCATTCTTCCAGTGGGGGATTGACCTGTTGGGGCCGTTTCCCCGAGCTCCAGGTGGTTATGAGCACTTGGTGGTAGCCATTGATTACTTCACCAAGTGGGTAGAGGCCGAGCCCCTCAACACAATTAGCAGCAGATCGGTCCAGAAATTCCTTTGGAAAAGCATAGTCTGCCGATTTGGCATACCAAGGGCTCTCGTCTCGGACAATGGCAGACAATTCGCTGACCACTCTCTCCAGGAATGGTGCACGGAGCTCGGCATCCATCAGCACTTCACGTCGGTTGGGCACCCTCAGGCTAATGGGCAGGTCGAGAATGTCAACAGAACCATCCTGCACGGCCTGAAGACAAGGATAGAGTCTGCCCAAACTAATTGGCTGGAGGAGCTGCCTACTATACTATGGGCTTACCGTACAACGTCTCGGACGGCCACCCAAGAGACCCCTTTCCCCCTGACATATGGGGTCGAAGCAGTAATCCTAGCAGAAATTGGAGTACCCTCGGGTAGGGTGCAACACTTTGTGGCTCAGGATAACGGGGAGGAGATGCGGCTTAGCTTGGACCTGCTCGAGCATCGAAGGGAAGAGGCGGCCATAAGAATGGCTAAGTACAAGGGCCAGGTCGCACGCTACTACAATGCCAGGGTAAGGCACCTATCTTTCAAGCCTGGAGACCTGGTATTACGCAAGAACTCCGTGAGCCGAGCTGGGGGCACGGGTAAGTTAGATCCCAACTGGGAAGGCCCCTATGTGGTAAGGGAAGCTGACCGGGCAGGTTATTGTAAACTAGGTCGCCTGGATGGAGGCGAAGTCCCGCGTACCTGGCACAACTCAAATTTAAGGCTTTTTCTTTAGTATTCTGCCCGAGCTGGAAATGGTTAGCTGGACAGGTCTGTCTTTCATTTTATTAGCTCAGTACTTGGGATTATAATGTATTCAATGCTTTTAAATAATAGAAAATATTTACAAGTGTTGGGTAAGAAAGAAGGCCATCTATTTCATTTCAAAAGGCATGTACATGCGGAGGGCCATACAAAAGCAAGCTAGCCAGCTCGGTCCCTACCCTAACCTAATTCCTATAGGCCTAATCTATGTACCATTCGTCTAACTCTTCCCTTGCTGTTCTTGCTCTGGCTCGGGAGAGGTTGCGGGAAAAGTAGGGTCGGCGACCAAGGCAGCCAGGTCGCGCCCATTGCTGTAGCCCGCGACAAGCCTGTCAATTTGATGGACAGGTTGGGGGTTGTAATCAGGCCATTTGCTCAGGTCGAAGCCCGGTAAGTTCAAGGACTGAACATCCGCCATGGCTTTGGTATAGCCGAGCTGCAGGACGGGGCCATTCAGGATGGCCAGGTCATTCATAAAACTTTCGGACTTCTTAAACTCTTGAACGCCTAGCTGACGCCCTTCCGCCCTCGCCGCTTCTATCAGTTCGGAAGACCTTTTCTGCTCGGCCTCCAGAGTCCCGGATAGCTCGGCTGCCTTCTTCTTTTCCAGCTCGTAGGAGGAGTTGGCGTCCGCAAGTTATTTTTTCAGGGACTCTAGCTCGGCTTCCGCGGCTTCGAGCTGGCTCTCTAGCCTTTCCTTGGCGGCGCCGACTTGGGATAGGTTGACTCCCATGTTCTCGTACCGCTGCGCCAGCTTGGCTCCAGCGACATTGAGCTGCAGACCGAACACAGGATAAGAAATCAGCAAATCAAAGGGGATTTCAGGGAGGTACTAAGTTAAGGAATCACCTGGGCGGTACTGAGGTAAAAATGCTCCAGCAGCTCAGAATTAGAGGTAAGCTGGATGAAATGATGGTCGCGGGGGAGGACCGCGCCCTTGACGAGCTCCCTAGCAGCTTCAGGGAACTAAGCCCGGTCATTCACTGACAGCTCCCACTTCGGGCAGAAATGCTGGGGGTGCGGGTGTGAGCTCAGTTCGGCGGGGGGCTTCATGGGGATCACATTCCTCATGCACCACATAGCTGGAGGAGATTCTGACGAAGCCTGCTGCTCGGCGGAGTTCACCCCGTAGTGAGGTGCAAGAGCTGTTGAGGGTTCCTCATGGGATTGGGGGGAAGTCGTCTCGGTCCTGGCCCTCTTGGCCGCCGACTTCTTCCTTTTCTTCTTTGGCTCCTCCCCTGGCGGCGACTGAGCTGCGATCTGTGGATTGGGTCTTGGTGGAGGAGGAGCCGCGCTGCTGGGAGCAGTGGACAGAGCAGGGGTAGGCGTACTAGTACTGCCCGCTCCTCCAATGTTCAGCAACTGGGAGAATCTCTTCACTGCAGAGTAAAAAAGGTAGGTCAGCTCGGGTAGTGTGACCAAACTCATTAAAAGGAAGGAAGAAATGAGGCCCAGAAGTTACAAGCTGTCAGCTCTTCTGGAAGAAGAGGTCGGAGATCGGGGGCAGGGTCATTCACCTCTGCTCGAATCAGCCCCGCCGACCAGAGATGTGCATTGTTAAACTCTTTAACCTTTAGCCGAGCTTCCGAGCTGACCAAGCGGTCCAGCTCGGATTCAGGCAGGGGAGAGGGTATCGGATCAGAAACTTGGGTCTCCTCCCTCCAGGTCAGGGGGGGAAACCAA